AGGGACTGCTGGAATCCAGAGGGGACTGTAAGCAAGGGCAGATGGGATCCTGTTGTTCAGGTCATCCATGTACCACTAGGCTCAAAATACCTACTGCCTAGCTCTCAGGTGCCGGGATGCCATCACATTGGTAAACTCTTAGAGTTTAAACAAAATCTCCACCTGTCCTGCGGAGGCTGGTGAGGCTGGTGTAGGACGGCGCCCCTGCCTCTGGCCTCCCTCTCCGCCAACCGCTGTCACCTCCCTGCCTACTCTCCAGGTGCTGTCCACACGCCTCAGCCTGAGACTCCAGGCTTCTCTGCAAGCTCACCCCTCGGCTCCAACTGCCACACACAGCCCAGCAGTTCCAAAGGATACACTGCTCCTTGAACATGCCATTTCTAGCCTCTGCCTGCAACATTCTCCCTACCTACTTCCTTCCGGAAACAGTGCACTCCGAATGTGAGACTGTTTGGAAACCAACCACCGTGTGCAGCCTCTGGGCCCTTGCAGAAGCTCCTCTTCCACCACCACACAGGCAGGCCCAACGTCTCCCTCTTCTCTGCACTCCTTTGCCTGGGGCACTTCTGTAACCAAAGGCAGCCCAGGACAGATGGTCATTTGCAATCATGGCCACCTCATCTGACTTTTCTACAGCGAAAGCAGCAACCGCTCATCTTTGCAGCTCTGGTGTCTGCACACAGCTAGTACTCAAAACAGGCTAAGTGAATGAAGACTCATGAGCCCGTCCGGCAGCAGAAAAGGTAAAGAGCTTGAAGTGTGCCTCAGGATCATGTTCAGAGTTGGGTGAGAAGAGAATTAAAAGCTGGCCGTGGAAAAAAAGGACAGATGACAAGCCCTGACTTTCTAAGCATTCTGGGAGAATGCTTGGAGAGCTGCAAGAAACTGATGATTTGGGTCAATACAGCACTGCCCAAGGCAGCTGGGTGGGGGTACCAACAAGACTATAAAATCTTACATTAGTCTCAGAGAGCAGAAACATCTGCTAAAGCCACAGCGGGCAGGCTGGCCAAGTTCAGCAGCAGGTTAGCCAGGACAGCCCTGTGACCAATGGGAAGGGCCACAGAGGGAAGAATCAATCACCCACACAAAGAGAAACAGGAAGGATGAGCAGTGACACCGGGGAGGCCCATGGCCACGGGGGTCTCGCCTCTGTCCTTCCCAGCTCCGGCCTGGACTGGCTCTTTGCCCAAACCCCTCACGCCCTCAGTGCCACCAGCCCGGCTCTGCGGCCTCGAGACCTGCTGAATCCTTCTCCTTTTCTCTGAGAACATCACGGTTCCACACCATGTTACCTCAGCTAGCTCCCTACTTACACACTGAAACGACTTGAAGGCGCTAGATGATTCGTCTGCCAGCCAACAGCTCTCTTTAAAGAGTTTGCTTTTCCGTATCAACACTTCCATGAATTCAGAATTTGATCAATTCTTTGCCACACAGTTTGACAGTAACAAAACACGGACACGCTGACAACCTGCTGGTGTCAGAAAGGAACATCTTAAAACTCCTTGGACTCTACATGGAGACAGGCTTCCAATCCCAATCTTTGATCTCCATTATAAAGCGGTACCAATAAAATATTGTAGAGATTTATGGGCGAACTTTCACTCGAGCTGTTTCACACCTAAAATAACATGAGTGGTTGGGCCAGTAGGCAGAAAATTTAGCTTTAGGTTTCAACTGTTTAGGTTTCCTTTTACTTTTATAACCTAATTCACTTATTGAAAAAAAATCCCTGAAAACTTAAAATTACATTGTATTTCTCTCTGAGAGAAGACAGCAGGGAGGCATTAACTGGGTAAATGTCATGTCCTTCCCAAAGGGACAGCCCAAGTTTGGGTAGACAGCTGTCCCCTGTCCTAACAGAGTCATCCTTTGTCAAAGGCAATGTTTTTCCATGGGATTTAAATCAAACTTTCTGCCTGAGTACATCCAATTGTTAGTAAGAGTTACCAAATACTTATTACTGTGACTAAAATCTTAACAAAAAGAATTTTATTTAAAAGCCAGTGTGATGGGATTTGGACCCAAGACCAGTTTCACTGTGTTTTGTCCTACTCTTTGGGGTAATTCCCGAGCCCAGCTCACACTGTAATTCCGACCATCAGTCACTTATAGCTTAGCATCTAAATGAAAAGAAATCAGAGCTACAGTCCCTATAGATGGGAAATCAACCGGAACCCCCAGCCCTCCTTCCCCCAAGTGATGAAGTTGGGGAAAATGATTTTGCCAAAAAGGAGAAAGCTGGGAATCTGAAGGGGGAGAGGCAGCTCACCCAGCTTTTAAGAAGACCTTTATAGGCAGAGTGAAGTGAAAACAGCAGAAGAGTTCCTGGACACAGTCCTTTAAGAAACAAAAACGAGCAGGAAGAAAGGTCAGAGCAGCGGTTCAAAGGCATCAGAATGCATGGCTGCTGCTGTCCAAGGTTGCGGGCTGGAGCCTGTGCTCCTGCCAAACAGGCGGCAGGGTGAGCGGCACAGGCACTGGGCCATGTCCCCACGCTGCCTGCAGGGCTCGAGGGGCTCAAAGCGACACCGAGAATGGTGACAATAGCCAAAGCCAAGTAAGAAGCACAAAAGCAACGTGCTCAGCTATTTAGCCCAAGTTTACTTTCGCACTTTCTCATTTCGAAATGTAGTTCTTGGTTATCAGTGGAGAATGCAGCGGCTGGACAAGAGGAAGCTGCCTGCTTCTGAGCACTCTAATTGTGTCCACGATTCTTCAATATTCCAACCTGAAGAACAGAGTTAAACTTTTCTACATAAGGAGAATGTTTCACATTTATTCACTTGATGTGGTCTTTAAGAGATGTTTAAGGATTTGTGTCTATTTCTCTCGCTGTCATAACATCATAGTTTTATATATACAAGGGATTTTGGAGTCTCATCTTCCTTCTTGAAGAGGCCTGGGCCACGTGAAGGCTAGGTTCGGACCACAGCACTTCCAGGCAGGCAGGACCAACCTGAGGTTCTTTGCAGCGGGGCCTACGTGCAGAATCGGAGCCGTGTTCGCAGGAAGGCTGAGGCACTTGGACCTGATGTGGCTTCTTTGTCTCAGAGCCAAAGTGAAGTGGAGGTGACCCCCAAAAAGCTTTAAGAAATTTGAGTATAACATACATATTACAGAGACAAATGCTCAAGTCATAAATAAAATGCTGATGTAGCTGTACAAACAGAACACTCAAATATAATCAGCTCCTACACCGGGTCTCACCGCAAGTCCCTGCCATCTCAGGCCTCCTCCCCTCCAAGGCGACCACTACTCTGGCTTTCAGTGGCACAGACTGGCTTGGCCTGATTTTGATCGCATTTAAATGGAGACATCCAGTGTGCATTTGGGTGCCTGGTTTCCTTCACCCTTATGACTGTGGAGCTGCCTACTATTCAGCCTCCGCCTGGGTGAATGGGCCAGGATTTATTTGCCGGTTGTACAGGTGATGGGTGCTGATTAGTTTCCAGGTTTTTTGCTTTTGTTTTCGGCTATTTTAAATACTGTTCCAATGAACATTCTTTCATAATACACACAGTATGCATTTCTATTGAGTATATATCTAGAACTGCTGAGCCACACGATGTGGACACCACATTCAACTCTAAAAGATTTATCAGTTTGTTTCGAAAGTAGTTGTAGCAGTTTGCCTCTCCCTAGCGCTGAGAGTCCATTATTACTCCACAGGCTGTGGAGTCATGGTTTTTTTCTTTTTCTTTTAGCCCTGCTGGTGGGTGCTGCACATCTTTGGGGGTGAGAACTGGCTCTCCGTCTTTCTCACATTTTTCCCAGTAAAGCAAATGCCAGCAAATCATGGCACTGCCAGGTGTCCTGAACTAGACACTCTGATGTTCTTCTCAAGCTTTGCAGACAAATGTTGGCAGGTTGGATGTGTGGAGGTGTCATAGGGGGTGAATTGGCAGGCTATGGATTCGGTGACCTTGGAAACTTCCAGAACCTAAGGGACTGGTCCTTCAGTTCTTGCTCTAGCGGATGGTGTGGGAACCCAGAGGAACGTGACACCAAATCCTTCACGTGGACGCGTTCCGTGAAACTCCACTCATATGATGTAGTCCTCACTCCTGTCCTTGGCCTGCCAGAATCTGATCCAGGGTCCTCCAAGGTAAATCATGGCCCTGTAAGTACTGACTGGTTCCCCCATGCTGGAGAAAGTGAAGCTACAGTCACTGTGGGTGAGGACATTTAGTAAAGAATGAAGCAAGCTGTGGACAAGGACTTTGTCAGCATGGAGGCCACGGAGGCCAGAGAGGACTGTGGTTCAGCTGACTCAGTGGAGTCCAGCAGAGAGCCTCTGAGCTCAGCCTAGGGCACAGCTAGTTGTTCTCTCAGGGGTCCTGGCAGGTTATGGGTCTCAGAGGTAGCTGTGCAGAAAGGTCACCTATACCTGTGGCCTGCTCTGTTTCTTGAAGCTGGCTTTGATGAGCGCACAGCTTCTGGCTCAGAATGTCACAGTTCTAGTCCACAGAGACCCCCTCTGACAAGACTGTCGCCCACCCTCTAGAGCCAACGTTGAAAATAGCTTATCAGAAGGCCCACAGTAAACAGTAAGTCATCACTCTACTCCTCTGCTGGCTTGTGAAATAACCCCTGGCAGTGGGTATGGCTGGGTCCTAATCAACGGCATGGAAACTGGTGACTGGCATGGGCTGAATGTGCTGGGCCCTGCTCTGGGACATTCCTTTGAAAGCAGGCATCCTCCCCTACTTCCTTCTGATGCTTAATGCCTATCGTGAGCTACAGAGCTGCTCTGAAAAGAGCCTTAGGTGAAAACCCATCTTCCCAGCATCTTTTAGGAGGGCACACAACCAAAGAAGTGCTCTTCCAGTGGCAGGTGCTGTTTCCCAAAGATCTTACTAGATATGAGAGAAGACATTCAGCTAAAACTGTTTTTCCTCCAAAAAAAAAAAAAAATTTTTTTTTTTTTTTTTATTTTGAGAAAAGGGAGACAAATAAGCCTGTTTTAAAATCTAAGAAACTAGAAAATCTTTTACCTTTTGGACCAGGTAGACACTGGTGGCTCTTTCGGCAGCTACCTTATCCAGCTGTGAACCCTCAGGAACAAAGTAGCTCACATCGGCGATGTGGACGCCCACTTGGAAGGTGCCTGTGAATGCAAAGAAGGACCATCAGCCTCGCTGACACGACCAGGGCGCTCCTGGCCAGGAGTGCTTTTCAAGAGTGTGGTCACTTGTGGACAGCACAGGCCTCGACTGGGGCCACCACCCAGCCTTGCCAGGCACTTGCCCCAGACCTACTGCCTCCTTAAGATGACAGTGAATGGCCTGTGATGACTGAACAAACAAGACAGACTGGGATGGAACTTGGGACCTTGCACTTGCAAGGCAGGCATGGTGCCACTGAGCTAAATCCCGGCCCCCATTTTCCATTTCTAAAGGCTTGTCTTTAAACAAGCAGACAACTCATTCAGCATGGTAAATAAGCTCTTTCTGGTCACAGGAGGGAGTTCCGGAAGCCCTGCCCCTCCCGCCACCCCCGACAGCCACAGCCTCTGGCCAGCCCACTCTGCCTGCCCACCTGGCCTCTAAGATGTTCTCACCAGCCCTCCAGACTTCCACTGCCACCGTTCAACGTGCTCCTCGGTTTGCTCCACACATCTTGGCAAGGTCTCGCCCCTGTCTACCCCGTCAGAGTGTGGCCCCATCTTCCACAGGCTCACTACACCACAGCTATGAGGACCCCTTCCCACCCCTGGAACACATCTTACCACACCCAACTCAGATGTCTGTGCACCTGGCCCATGTGTCTTCCCGTGCTCAGGGTAATTCCAGCAGGGGCTGCCTACCAACACCCGTCCTTCCTCGTAAGGGTCAACCAAGACTCCCGAGCAAGAAGAGGTTCCTCTGCCCGCTGCTTCCTCCACCTGCACCGCCTAAACCCAACTGCATGTCCGCTGATGCTGACTGAGGTCTGTCCCAGGGCCATCCTCCCCACCAGACACCACGGCACTTCTCCACTGGTTCACATGCCCTGTGAACTTGGGTCTTGCTGTGGTGCTCATGCCCAGGGCTTAGAAGAGTGCTCAGCATGCATGCAGTGGGTGCTCACAAAATACTTGCTGAATGAAGGAATCAAGAGTTGGTTTGTTTGCCTGCTGTTTTTCCCTCCTACATCATTTTTCTCTTTCCTTTCCCTGCAGAGCTGTCTCTGGCCATGTTCTGCCTTCCGTACCAGTTCTGCCAGAGAAGTGGCCCAGTCACCTGGCTGGTGAAATTGTACCTGACAGGTGGAGAGATGATAGGCTACAAACCTAAGGGTTACTCTTGAACATGCTGTAAACTGTCTATCAAATATACATATATGTACATACATACACTCATGTGCTTACATGTACATGAAAATGCATACAGTGGGGAGGTGACAGGGCTGGGCACAGATAGCCATGCGATCCAAGCTGATTTATCCTGAGCCCTTCCTCAGGGACCAATATGGATTTAGGGAAGGAGCTCTTTCTCCTGGCATCATCTTTGCCACATCTTCTGACCCATATAGAGAAGAACAGGTCTAAGGAGGAAAAGGAGCATGGCGATGATCTCATGTGAACCCCAACCCAGCTGATACTGAGCCCAGTCTGCTTGTGGACAGGGCCATGGCTGAGCTAATCCATCCACTTTCCCTTCCGACACACCAGGCAAACTTGAAGGGCTTCGTAACCATCATCAGTTACTCCTCCGGTCACCTGCATGGCCAGACATTTTATCTGGTGTCAGACATTTTATCTGCAAAGTCTGTAGCGTTATATTATAGCTCCCACACTGCTGCAGCTTCTTTGGGGATACCCGTTCCTCAGGTTTTAAGCATAGGGTGCTACAAATAAGGGGCTCAGGCAAGGGTAAGAATTTGATTCCTCCTCTTCATCTGCTCTGACACTCAGAGATCCCTCTGCAGGGCATTCTTTGGGTTTTCCTGCCCAATCCTGTAACCCAACACCTCAGGGAACCTCGAAGTTCTCCGAGACGGAGACCGGAGGCTCTGGGGAAGACAAGGGAGCCGTCTCTGAGCGGAAGGGCTGCGTATAGCACTGGGGGAAACCAGCCACCTTTGAGCCCAGCGGCCTCCCCTGACCACACGCAGCTGGGTCACTCGGTCAGCAGAAGCAGCGAGCCTGCCTGCCGTGATGGAGGAGCCCGACCCCAAATCTCAGACGCTCAGCTGAGAGTCCTGATATTTCAAGTATCTAAAACTAACACTTGGAGAAGGTAAAAGAAAGTGTCTTCTTTTGAAGTCAGGATCATAATATACCGGCCTCATAGGTAAATATTGACTAAAGGAAAAAAGGGGATTATTCTACTGTGATATCAACCATAAGTTTAAATGTGGACTCTGTGTTGTTACTGCACATGAACTTTCTGTCCTTTGTGAAAATTGACAAACTGACAAAGAGTTCATTACTGGAGATAAAACACAATGGGGGCCAAACAAAACACATTCGAGAGGCTTAAATTTCACTCAAAATTCCCAGCAGAGCCTTTAAAACCAGCAAAGAGATACTCTCTTATTCTCTGGACATTTTTATGGAAACCCTAAGTAAATATTTTATTACATATATTTACATAATGTGAACTTGCAGAAATCTTGAGGTAGTGGCACTGAGGATTTTATTCTATGAAAGAGGATAATACACCTCCAAAAGGCAGTGTATGCTGCCAGAACATTGAGGACCAACATGATTGTTTAAAAAAATATTCCCTCTTAATTTCTATTAAAGGAATTGAAAAGTATTCCTTTAAACATATTTTAATTTGAATAAATTCATTTACTGGGGCTAAGAGGAGTCCTGTGAGTTTTCTTTTCTTTTTTTTTTTTTTTTTTTAGGTGTGTGTAGGAATTAAATCTATGGCCTTTACACTGAGCTACAGCCCCTTAGCCCTTTTTAAATTTTTTGAAATTTTAAGACAGAGTCTTTCTCACCAAGTTGCCCAGGCTGGGCTTGAACTTGTGATCCTTCTGTCTCAGTTCCCAGAGTTCTGAAGAGCAGCGGAAGCAGAGAGAGGAGGGTTTCCCCTAGGCCATGCCCGAATCCATCAGCGTGGAGGAAGACAAACGCTCCTTTGAGCGGATGAGCCTGAGAGGTTATCAGAACTGCTCCACTCAGCTCCAGTGCTGATATTAAGAATCAGAAGCCAGGGCTTCAGAAGCAGCCCTGTGAAGCCAGCCTCTGAGCCCACCCCATCCCTCGCAGCCACTTCCCAACCATGACCCTGACAGGTGGCTGGACACTGACTGGAAGCTGGCTGCTCTATTTCTGAAGGGCTTTGGTTGGCAGAAAGTGCATCTCTGCACAGGTCCACGATCCATGGGATGCAGCCCCTGCTTTACACCAGCACGGGCATCCAGAAGCGGTGGCCCCTCCCTTGGGAGCACGCAGCCCACTCCACCCACCTGATGACAACAGGACAGGGCAGAGAAAGGTGACAGACACGCACAGGAGCAAGTGAACTGTAGTGAGAATGCGCGAGAATGTTGCATAATCTATGACAACTGCACCCACAGGACATTGGCAAAGACGATCAGAAACACAATAATTGGGGTGGCAGCGTGGCCATTTTTAAATGGGTGCCACATGAACTCTGACAGCAGCTACACAAACTACATCGCAGGAACGAATACCCTGAGGCTCGCAGGAGTTCTGGGTCCCTCATCCCAAGCAACCTGTCGGTCCGAGATAAGCCCCAGATTCAAAACCAAGCTGGAAGGGAGCTTAGCTCCCCACATACACAGTCAGGTCTAGCACAAGATGTCTAGATTTTTGGTCTCCATGGGCCAATTCCCTCCCTCTCTCTCATGACTCAATGGAAGCCGCATTCTTAGCTTTGGATTCAGAAGTCCTTTCCCAGCCTTTTTCAGAGCCACACCCTGTCCCTGAAGGATCTTTTGGTTCCCACTGCCAACCTCCTCTGCCACTGGTAGCAGGGCCTCAGTGCAGAACATCCACTACACCCTTAACTCCAGTTCTCTTTAACTACAAGAATAAGTCCTTAAAATCCCAGCAGTTCCTTTCTAAATTCCTAGCTTACAGTCACCTCGTGGAATGATGGTCTTTACTGCTCAAAGGACGGTGCCAGGAGTGAGTACTCCTGGAGGACAGAGGTGGGGACAGCAGGCTTTCCTAACCAGGGGAACAGGACCTTTCAGACTTGGCTCACCTGATCTCACCTCCACCCACTGCTGAGACAGGACAGTGTGACAGGCTCTTCTGAGGACACTCCTCGCAGACCACCATGTCACATGCTGCAACATACTGGATGCCTGTGCCTCCCAGGGTTCACGCACTGCAAGCTAATCCCCACAGCAAGACGGCACTTGGAGCTGGGCCTTGGGGAGGTGACAGTGCTCCCTGATGTGACCAGTGCCCTTACAGAGACAGAGAGCTCCTTGTCTCTTATGCCACGTGCAGACCCAGGAAGTCACCATCTAGGAACAAGAGTGGGCCCTCGCCTGACTCTAGAACTGCCAGGGCTTTGACCTTGGATTTCCAGCCATCTAGAACCACGGACTGAGTGGTTCATGAAACATGAGCCAAGTGAAATCTCTCCCCCGTTAAGTGGTGGGGTCAGGTACTGTGTCCAGCAGTGGGAGAGCTGACCGAAACAAGTCTACTGATGTAGTCTCTGGTCACTGTACGGAAAGCCTGACAAAGGCCATAGTCTCTCAGGAATGGGGTCAATGGGCAAACCAACAAACTGGTGAAGCAGTATCACAGGCCGGTGATGAGACAAGTACCATCTGCCCCGCTGCTTACGACGTGCCGGATTCCAGGGGCTTCCTTCCGGTCTATGACGGGAATGTGAGGCTCTTGTGTGGGTCACTGTCTTGACTCTTTGGCCAGTCTTTCCAGCAAAACGAGCCTCAGGGGACAGAAAGCAATGTCTGAGAGGGCAACCCAAAGGAGAGGACTGAGAGAAAGGCCCTCCTGCTGCTGGAACAGTGCCACTGAAAAGGCTTCCCCTAGGGCGGCCCACCTAGCGGGAATGTGGGCCCTGGCTTCAGCTGGTCCCCCTGACTTCCAGAGACAGACTCAAAAGCCGAGGAACAACTGGGCTTGGATCACCTTGCGGCCACGCAATAGCCTCCCTCTTTTACTTG